TCCCTGAGGGGACTCAGGGCGGCTCACAGTTCAGGGGGAGGGAGGACAAACCATGTTAAACACATAATACATCGTTAAAAGCACAACATTCATACAATTCGGGCGGGGTTGAGGTCTTTAGCCCCAGGCCTGTCGGGACAGCCAAGTTTTAAGGGCTGTGCGGAAGGTCTGGAGGGTGGTGAGGGTACGAATCTCCACGGGGAGTTCGTTCCATAGGGTCGGAGCTGCCACCGAGAAGGCTCTCCTCCTAGAATGGGGGGGAAAAAAGTCTTACTTCTGCTTCAGCTTCGATTTTATCTTCTTTCACCATTTTTTCTACCATCCTTTCAGCTAGGGGTAAAAACATGGTTTTTGAGAGCTTTTCATCCTGCGCAGATATTGACTGCAAGAAAAAAACACATAGAACTGCCATATAGAGAACCAGCCCGCCGTCTGGCTAACATAACACCCTAAGTTTTCTCTAGAGGAGCCAAAGCAAGCAAGGCGAATCGCACCCCTCTTTCCAATTCACCACAGGCCCAATGCAAAACATTAGTTTCGGGTGAAACCCTCCGACCCAATGAGAAGAATGATCAGACAACCGACTGCGGTTTTATGCTCATTATTCCAGAAGAGCAGTGACAGGCACCAGATAGATCCGCTGAGGCTGAGTAGCAACTTGGTAAGAAGAAATGGGCCACCCTGTGTATGGCAGTGCACATGGCCATTCGGCTGTCCTGACTGCTTCACGCGACAGCGAATTGTCAGATTTCACCCCTTTCTCAAAGGATTCCTTGTAAATCCTCAACTAACATATGAATCTCAAACACCAGTTCCAGAATTTCAGATGTTCAGTGGGAGGGAGGGAGGGAGGGAGGGAGGGAGGGAGGGGAAAGCATAATGAAGTTTCTTTTTCCCTTTTCTTCACCCCAGAACGGGCTGCAGGTAGCACTCACCATCTCTGCTTCTGTATGACTCAAGTGAGAATTTAGGAGTCTGCAGAAGAACCCTTGCATTTCCCAGTAGAGAAATGTTATCATTTCACAGCATGCTCTCATCTAATTTGTTGATCAAATTGCACTATGAAGACAGGATTTAACGTAGCCCACTCTTAACTTACAACCCTAACCTCGTGCTCCCTGTATATCTGGAAGACACCAAGTTAAGAAAGGCTGTGCCGCTGTATTACAGCCTGTGCTTGCGACATATAGAATCTATGTCTAGCGTCTCCCTAGCATTTCCCCATATTTCAATTGGAAAGCGAACCAATTCCAAAGACAATTTACTCTCCCCCTGAAAGGTGGCACCTACCTGCATTATTAAACTCATCACGGACCAAAAATAGTACGGGTTTTTAGGGACAATCTTGTAAAGGGCCATTCCAGCCTGGAAAAGAAGAAGACGCAAATCCAGATGACAAGAGACGGTCACAAAAGCTAGAATGGCCTCTAAGGAGAGCCTTTGCACAGTTCCAAAGCGTTTGCTGACAGGAAGGGAAGGAATGACAAGAGGCTCCCTTCTGTTAATGTTCTGGACTGGAGGATCGCAATTTAGATGGGCAGGAGCTGTCACCACCACCCTCTTCTGTCTTTCTCCGGCCTGGCCCTAACTGCCACTTTAGGCGTTTGCTTTGAGAGGGAACAGGAAACAGCAACCAAAACTCTCCCGTAACCTGACACTCCCTGATGTCAAATAAATTCCCTTCCAAAGGTCTGCTCAGCAATTCCCTCCGGCTGAAAGAGGTGAAATTTGGCATTTCATGAGTGACGTGTGAAGAAGAAGATGCCTGGGTCTCCTTGGAGGAGGGAAGCCTCTTCCTTCCCCGAGGAAGAAACATGCCTATGATGCGGGCAAGTACCTGCTGCATCTTCTTATATTCTCCGACTCTCGCGTAAGCCATGAAGAGATGGGAATGGTATTCCTCACTGCTGGGAACTTTCTTCACAGCCGCCTCGTAGAGTTTCGTGACCAGCTCGGCTGAAAGCAGATATTCTAAGCATTAAAAGTAGGCAGGTGAAGACTTAAGAGCCCCCCCCTTCCTTATTGGAACAGGGCTGAAAGATTCGGCACCTTGAGACATTCTCTTCTTGGGGAGGGGGGGGGGCACCGGGGCTTGGCATCCGTGACCCCCAACCACCCCCCGGAGGACTGCAATACCTACTCTCAGCTGGCAGTTTGAAGGATCGTGTTTAACCACACTTTAATTCCCCAGAATATTTTGGAGCCATAAAATGGTTCCCTGGCCTAGACGTTTGGCATTATATTAGAGCCGAGGTGGCGCAGTGGTTAAATCAGCACTGCAGGCTACTTCAGCTGACTGCAGTTCGGCGGTTCAAATCTCACCGGCTCAGGATTGACTCAGCCTTCCATCCGTCCGAGGTGGGTAAAATGAGGACCCGGATTGTTGTTGGGGGCAATATATGCTGACTCTGTAAACCACTTAGAGAGGGCTGAAAGTTGTTTTGTTGTTGTTTTGTTGTTGTTTTATTTATTTATAGGCCGCCCTTTTCCCTGAGGGGACTCAGGGCGGCTTACAATCAAAAAGGAAGGGGAGTGTAGGACAATACGAAAAAAGAAATGTGCACAAAGTAAATTAGACAATAAAACTCAACATTCACTCAGCATTCGGGAGGGGCGAAAATAAGATTATCCCNGAGGCTCGTTCCGGCATCCCTGCAGCCGCGCCCTTACCCAGTTTCTGTTCTTCAGGGCAGCCTCTGTGCCGCAAACGGCTGATCAGCTCCAGCTGGGCCAGGTATGGTCCCCGAAGCGGTCGGGCGCTGTTGGATTCGTGGATCAGCCTCTGTTCTATGAAGGCGACTGCCTGCTCTGTGCTGTGATGGACGTCTCCTTCCAGAGAGCTGAGCACAAGGAGGGCCGTGAGATTCAGCACCTCCGCTCCATTTCTCACTCCCCCCAATCTCCTGCCATGCGCTAATTCCAGGGATGAATTTGTTTCCTCCTTTCCCTTTATATTGAAGATTCTCAAAGCCCCCCCCCCCCCCCCCCAAGAGGAGAGTACTCACTGCTCTCCTTCAGCTGGGGGCGTCCAAGCCATGCCGATCAGTTGAAAGAGGGAATCGAAGTAGATCATGTAGAACTGCCAGTCATCTGGGCTGAAACAGGAAAAAGCCAAGGAAAGAAAGAAAAAAAAAAGCTGAAGGGCAGTGGAGGACCCCCTCCTCTCTTGCTGTCTCTTTTGGGAGCAATCAGGGAAGGAAATTGAAACCGTTCCCTGAAAGGGAGACAAAAGTGTTCTCCCCACCTTCAACTGGCCGCGGAGAACGCAGCGTTACGGCTCGTCTGAACGTCACAAAAATAAAAATGTGCGGATTAATGATGCGTGCAGATGAGGCGAAGGAAAGTTAGGGAAAAGGTTGGTTGTGAACAAGGCCCTGGATTGGGTGGCGGTTCAAAGAACAAGAAAGGTGAAGCTAAGCAGTTCTGGATAATAAAAACGGACGCCTCCACGTGGAATTGAAAAGGGGGGTGGGGGGAATGTCCCAAGTGAAGAGCAAAAAGGAAAGATTCCTCTTGGGGGGCCATCTAATGTTTTTACTAGCCTGGCAAACACCACGGCAGCCCAAAGGATGCCAAGGGGCTGCCCAAGGTAGGGCCCAGAGGCCAAGCCTACATTTCCTTCTTACTTTTTCAGCAGAAGTTTTCTGGAGAGCGCGTTGCATTCTGGCCACTTGCCCAGCTTCCTGTACATCTCCATGCACTTGTTTTCTCTGCTCTGGAGCGCGCTGGTTAACTTGTCTAAATATAATACACACACAGACACACACACCCCAAAATGAAAATTCACATTAAGGAACATGTCGATTTCAGAAACAAAATCCCCTTTCATCCCGCAAAAATTGGACCGTAGGGAAAGTTCATTGGGGTTTAATTTCAAAACCGCCTTGTATTATATAACCAGAGATGCAAAATATCTGGCACAGAGAGGAGACACGTTTGTAGATGAGGCCATGATAAAAGCACATCGCTTTGCAAATCGAGGCTGAACACTGAACTGCAGGCAACCCTTTGTGCGTGTCAGATTACATCTCTTTCACAAAGGCACCGGAAAATCTTACCTCCCAATTTTCCTCTCACAACATCCAGAGCTTCTTGGTATTTTTCCAAGCGTTCTAGGATCATGTAGTAAAGTTCCACCTAGTGAAGTGGACAGCAAGAGGAAGAGATAAGTCAAGAGGAGAGAGAGAGAATAACTTGCCACCATTAACTCCACTAATTTATCTTTAAGAAGCGGAGAGATATTTCTTGGACTAATAAATTGTGCCATAAACCGAAATCATTTTATGGCCACGGATGTTGAGCTTAGATAGATAGATAGATAGATAGATAGATAGATAGATAGATAGATAGATAGATAGATAGNCCCCCCCAGTCTGGGTCCTCATTTCACCCACCTCGGAAGGATGGAAGGCTGAATCAACTTTGAGCCGGTGAGATTTGAACCGCCAAACTGCAGATAGCAGTCAGCTGAAATGGCCTGCAGTACTACACCCTAACCACTGCGCCACCTCGGCTCTTACACCCTAATAGGTTCCTGGGTGAAATCTGAAGTAAAGAACTGCCTTCTGAATGAGGCTCCGGAGCTTATACTTAACTGGATCTATTATAATCCAGGGTGATCTATTTATTCCAGGTGGCAGAATAAAAACCAACATGCTGCCCCTGGATATATTCCCGTCTCCCTTCAGATCATATAAAACTTCTACCGTCCTAGGTAAACTTTTCTGCTTACTTCTCTTTCGGGTCCCAGTTGAATAGGACGGTGAGGTCTCTGTTATCCCGCAGGTCTTTCCAGGGAATGTCGTCCTCTTCCAGACTTAGGCCCATGGATTTAATACTTTCTTCCAAACTTGTTGATCTGGTTCATGAGGAACCGAACAGAAATATGCTGGGTTAGGCACTTACAAGGGTTGGCTCAGCTTTGTTCAGGGTTTTGGGGTTTTGTTTTTCAATGGGGCCAGCGAAAGTCCCCCAACTGCAAGGGAAAACACGTCAGGTGACGGGTTCTGTTTTCATCAAAAGCTTTGCTCTCTCTGCAAATAAGCCAAACACGCCCGGTGAGGCATGCAGAACAGGTCAGAGGACCATTTTCAGGGTGCTGCCAGCTCCCTAGATAGAGAAAGGGAACCCTACTTGGCCTTGACTCAAAGGTTATTAAAAGCGCTGCTAGGAATCCTCGTCCCGTTTTTACGCAGCGTCTATTGCTGCTACTCACACCCGACCCGTTTCCCAGGAAAAGCCCCGGCAGTTTCAGATGTTTCTCTGGACTCACATATTGGCTTCCAGGAGGAGATCTAGCAACATCCGTTCTGTGCGGACTTGTGCAAAATGAAGGGAGGCGTTCAGCCTGTTCCGGAAAGCAATGAACTCTGGGATCTTCTCAAACGCACCGTATTTATAGGCCTGGATGATGTATTCTGAGGTCTGCAAAGACAACGCAGGAGGGCCTCAAGGCTCGAGGACAGCCCAAGGGGGGGGGTTGATTTCTGTATAATGTCTGACTAGTGGGGGGTGTGTGTGTTCAAAAGGCTCGTCCCAATCCTCGCGGGAGGGGAGGCAACACTTGTGCAGCCTTCACTCTTGAGACTTGCACAAACTTTCACGAGTTTGGGTTTAGGTTCAGCCTTGGAAGCTGCTTTCACGAGCAATTGTGGGGAGGGGGGAGGAGGAAGGAAGGAAGCACTGCTACCGTCACTGAATTTAATCAACCTCGTGGGGCTGACAGAAGAGCAGCTGAGGAGGAAGTCTGGCCAAGGGCTTGGAGGTTCAGAAATCATTGGTTAACTCATGCCGATATCGACCCAACCCAAGTCCATTCCTCCTCCCCCTCCTTTCTGCTTCTCCTACCGGGCTCTGAGTATCTACGGGAGGCCGGGCAAAGGGAGAGGGATGGTGGGAAGAGCTGGCTCTGCTTCGAAGGGCTTTGCACACGGTCTCTGAAGAGGAGGAGAAGTGGAGGCTTCCTCTCCTGTTCCCACACTTACATCTTTCTGGTTGGAGTGGAAAAACCTGAGGGCAAAGTTGCAGGATTGAGAGGCAGCAGCATAGTGGCCAAAAGCTGTGGCATAGCGGGTCAGCAGGTATCTGCAATGCAGAAGGCGCACAAACCAACAAATCAACAAACGATACTCACAAAGCATGAAAAAAAACGGCTCAGCTTTCCCAGCTGAGTGAGTTTAGCTTTGGGTACTTCCCATTATTACCCCAAGGGAAACCCAGGCCACTGCTGTTGTTGGTTTCTGGGGGGTGGGTGGGTGGGGGGGAATGCCCTGCAATCGGTATGCCAAGAGAGCTGGTACATTTCAACGGCTCTCTGACTCCGTTTTATGCCTGACCAAAATTTTCCTTTTGACTGAAGAAGTTACGAATTGTCTCGGTTTAATAAACTTTGGTCCAGTTGCCAAAATGGACCCTTTTTTTAAAGATACTTTTTGCCTGGATGATGAAGTCTTTATTTATATCTAGAAACACTCAAGGAAGGAGCTAAAATTGGAGGTTGCTCCAGGAACGTCATAAAAGTCCATCCTGCAAATGGGCACAGAGGCCCCTCTCCTTGCCCCAAGACAGCCCGCCCCCCCGGACCCTTTCCCAACCCCTGGCGAATGGAGGAGAGTCCAGGCAGACGGCCCCCTTCCCTGCCCAAGGCAGCAGCTCCACAAAGGCCCCCCCACCCCCAGGAAGAGAGGCCAGTTACCCACCCAATGGTATCGTGCTGAATGTGCTTGGCATCCAGGCTAGAGTAAAGCTCCACCACCGGCTCAAAGGCCCCCAGCATGCAGTAGATTCGGATGAGCAGCAGTTTGAACTGGGCGTTGGAAGGGCTGGCGGTCAGGCCTTCCTCCAGCAGAGTCAAGCACTGCCAGACGGCCGATTCCTCACCTGGAAGGGGGAGGGAAAAGGGCAAAAACATAGGTGTGAAGCCGCACGCGAGGCGAGAAGGTAAAGAAGGGGCTCTGGAGGTACGTGAAGCGAACTCGTCTGTCGGACAAATTTGCCTCGTCCCCCTTCAGAGCTGCATCGCGTTCATAACGGGGGAAGAAATGCCAAGATCCAGCGTGTAAAGGAGACCCCCAAACTTCGATCCTTCTGCTGCTTTAGCAGGTAACAGGTTCAACCTAGTCTCACGTGAAGAACAGAACGTTTTTCTAACTTTCCCATGCCACGCATCACCGTAGAAACTTCTTGACCCACCGATTTTTATTGCTGTTAATAAACGAAGCCAGCCATGGCCCTCCCCCTTCCAAGGTCGTTTCTGATCACAGACAGGTGTCGCGATGACATACCTGCTTCCAGCCAGAGGTCAAGCAGCAAATGGACAGCAAGCAAGCAGTAGTAATCTGAAAACTGTAGCTCCGTTTTCAAACAGGATTTTCCTGGGGGGGAGAGGAGGGGAGGATAAAGCCAGAAAACAGAACATTTTTCTCTACATGGAGCAGCCCTTGAAGAGCATTCGGAGACTTCAACTCATCCAGAATGCAGCCGCGCGAGCGATTGTGGGTGCACCTCGGTACACCNCAGCCCTATGAAGCGCTATATAAGTCTAACTGCTAATATTAGGAAATCCTGCCACAAGCGAGCAAAACAACTTAATTCAGAAATTGTTTCTGCTTGCAAATATTGAAATATTTCTTTTCAAATATTTCTTTGAACGAAGAGTTATTACTAAAATCTTGGCAAAACAGGATCTGTGGTGATTTCTGAGACGACCCTTTCTTCAATACATGGAAGAAGAGCCGATGAGATGCGTGTGGATCAGAACACAGAGACAGAGTGCTTTGAAATGGAAATAAAAACCCCCCGCAGGGCTCAGGGTAGCTGGGAAACGTACGCCGGTGCATTTCTCGATACAGGATTGTCAACGCCTGCAAGGAATTGTCATCCGTGGGTTCAAGGCCTGCTACTTCTTGGGCCAAAGTAAACGCTTCCTCTTGCCTCCCAGTTCTTTGCAGGCCAATTGCTTTCAGAACCTGCATCCAGATGAGAGAATATTTTAAGAGGTAACTGTCAGTGAGGAGGATGCTCACGAAAAATCCCATCTCAAGAATAATCAGCAAAGAAGGTTCGAGGTTCGTTTTATTTATATTCTTATTTATTTATAAGAAATGGTCCTGGTGGGTCAAACGTTAAGTCTCAGAAGCTGGACACCAACTCCGATTTGCCTTAGGATGCTAAGCCATGAGGAGGAGGAGGACAAATACGTTGAAGAAGAATTACTTTGACAAACCAGAGCTTATGACCAACATCACCGGAGAGGGGGGAAAAACAGGAGCGACAAAGGCAATGTTGCAGAGGGGGAAAAAACTGCCCCAGACAAAGGAGGACTTCAAAGCTTAGCTTTAAAGTCTGCAGCCCTGGCTGCCCCACCCAGCCCAACCCTTTCTAGGGAGGCGGCAGACAGAAAGCAGACTCTGGCCCTTGCTTATTCAAGATTTAAGACAAAGACAACTGAACGAAATAAACTCACGGTGAGCTCACCTTAGCACAGTGGAGATCTCTGTGTTTTTTTAGCAGTTTGTCTGCTTGCTGGATTGCCATTTTATTATTGCCGTTATCAAGATAATCTAAAGAAAAGAAGGGAGAGGGGAATTACCACAGGCTGTAAAGTTGAGAATCAGCTCTCCCCCCCCACATGGCAAGGGTTTCCAGGTTAGCTGGACTACAATTCCCATCCCTGTAGTAATGGGCAAAGTAACTGCAATGGGCTCCCTCTAATACATCAGTAGGGCATCCTTCTGAGAACAGCTTATTCTCCGTGGAGAAGTTTTCTCATTTGGATTAGAAGAGGGTGGCAGCTCTTGGTTTCTGGTGAAAAATGAGTGACTTCCTCTAATATTTGGCAACTCTTCGGTGGTTGCTTAACATGAGGGTCAACATCTTTTGACCTAACTCATTCTTTCACAAGCCACAGTTGGAAGGTGTTTAATGTCCAGCTTCCAATCTGACAAACCACCCAGAATTCCTAGTTATGAGGGGTCCTTGATGCTCTGTTGAGCATGGCTGATTTCTCCTTTATTGATAACTTCTCATCAATCTATTACACTGAACAAACCCACGGGAGAAGCTCCTATGCACTAACCAATCTTGCTGGTAAGAGGAACCAAGAAGGCCTTTTTTCATGACCTAGCATGAAGCATAAAACAATATGAATCCCATCTATGACAGATGCAAAAAGAGATTCTTAATAAGGGAACTTTGTGGATATTTTGTCACCATATCAAAGGAGCAGAGAATTAAAAAGACGTGAGTCAGCCACAACAAATTACTTCAAAACTGTGAATTCAAGTCCTTGATTATTAAGTATGATTCCCAGACTGGATTTGAGAAAGTTAACAAAGTTTAATGAAGCTTCTATACCACAAATTAAAACAAAAAGCAAACTAACGCCAAGGGAAAAACGCTTAGCTCTCACTAAAGAAGGTATTAAATGAGATGAAATCAGAACTTGCCTGGACATTACATTAAATGTAAATGTAGTTATATCAAAAAAACATGTGTTTTCATGACACGTACCAATTAATACTAACATTGTTTTGAAATATTATTCAAAATACTACTAAATTGCTTCCAATCTCTTTCAGCATTGTCTTTCAATAGAAGAATTTGTCCAACACTGTGGTGTTCATATCTCCAATTTAGAAACGTATCTGATACGTACATATGATGTTACGCATTTTAAAAAATGGCTGAGAAACCTACTTTCCCATTAGAGAGACTGACTGCTCGAAGATTATTTTTCGGAAGCACAGGCAGTTTTTTCAAATGTAACATTAAGCAGTTCTGACCTAATTCTTGTGGAAAAGAACCGAGTAGAGACAAAACTCTGAAAATACAGACTTTCAGGAGAAACGCAGAAACAGCCAGGATAGCTGGGCCTGTAAATATGTACCTTGAAAGTTTGCATTATCAGAAAAAAAGATCCCAGATCTGCCCCAAAGCAATGCTTCTCACCCCTCCCAACTAGCCTTTTTTTTGTAACTGACAAGTTAGGCAACACTGATTTTAGGCTAGGCTCTCTCTTTGTTGAGCCTCTCCTGCCAATAGTACCTTTTATCTCATTCATCGATCGATGCAAAACTGTAAATCACCCTGTCCATTTTTAGTCAATACAAAGCTAGAAAAGTGGCATTGTGCAATACTGTACAAAGCCACTTTCTTAAGCAAGGAAGGTCATGTACTGGGGAGAGATAAATTAACCTGACCGCTGCCTCTGAATGAAAGAAACCACTCCTCATGAGCTTTCGGCTTACTGGGAAAAGCAGCGACAGAGGCTCGCGCAACAGAAGTGAAATATGAAGCAATCAAGTCAAACAGCGTGAGGGATATACATAACCTAAAGCAAAATAATAATTAATACTTGGACTGGATTGGAAGATCACACGTGTAAGAAAAGAGGCCTTCAGGAGGCATGGTGAAAGGACAGCTCAGGCATCTCACCAAACTATCCCCGATCAAGAGATAGATCAGAAATCTTGTATTTATAGGTCAGTCTTTAAAATCAGTTCTTTGGGAAAGGCGCTTAGGAGAACCAGGCACCAAATTACGTGTCTTCTAGAGCAGTGTTTCTCAACCTTGGCAACTTGAAGATGTCTGGACTTCAACTCCCAGAATTCCCCAGCCAGCATTCGCTGGCTGGGG